TTATCCATATTGGGCCCCACGCCCAATGTTGCGGTCCCCGGCCCGATTTCCTGGCCCCAGGCATAATGTTATGGCCCCAGGCCCGTTTGATAATCGACTATATCCTGAAGGTATTAATTACTAAAGAACATTTAATTTCTATAAAGCTCAAGTATACTCTAAATCCAACTTAAAATTGGTCTATAAATATATCCGACCGGTCATACCTCTTTAATTGTCATATAATCCGTGTTGGCGCCAAGCCCAATGGTCTGGCCCTAGGCCGGATTTCCTGGCCACAGGCATAATGTTGTGGCCCCAGGCCCCATTGATGATCGACTATATCCTGGAGGTATTAATTACTAAGAACATTTAACTTACAAAAAACTTTATTACATTTCTAATTAATTATGTAATTGGTTTATAAATATCCGACCAGCCGTACCTTTTTATCAATTCTCAAATTATCCATATTGGCCCCAGCAGGCATGATCTCTGGCCCCGGCCCGAATGATGATCGACTATATCCTGAGGGTAATAATTAACACAGCACATTTAACTCAAAAGTACTTCAGTCTACTTTAAACTCCACTCAAAATTGGTTTATAAATATCCAACCGGTCACATCTCATTCATTGTCATATTATCCATATTGGCCCCACGCCCAATGTTGCGGTCCCCGGCCCGATTTCCTGGCCCCAGGCATAATGTTATGGCCCCAGGCCCGTTTGATAATCGACTATATCCTGAAGGTATTAATTACTAAAGAACATTTAATTTCTATAAAGCTCAAGTATACTCTAAATCCAACTTAAAATTGGTCTATAAATATATCCGACCGGTCATACCTCTTTAATTGTCATATAATCCGTGTTGGCGCCAAGCCCAATGGTCTGGCCCTAGGCCGGATTTCCTGGCCACAGGCATAATGTTGTGGCCCCAGGCCCCATTGATGATCGACTATATCCTGGAGGTATTAATTACTAAGAACATTTAACTTACAAAAAACTTTATTACATTTCTAATTAATTATGTAATTGGTTTATAAATATCCGACCAGCCGTACCTTTTTATCAATTCTCAAATTATCCATATTGGCCCCAGCAGGCATGATCTCTGGCCCCGGCCCGAATGATGATCGACTATATCCTGAGGGTAATAATTAACACAGCACATTTAACTCAAAAGTACTTCAGTCTACTTTAAACTCCACTCAAAATTGGTTTATAAATATCCAACCGGTCACATCTCATTCATTGTCAT